CATATCAAAAAAATGACCATTTTTGTCACACGTATTTGATATATCAAAAAAATAACCATAGGTGTCTCAAAAACGATACTTTAGCTGATAAGGTATTTCAATCAGATTTTTACTAATATAAAGAATTTTTGCACCCAACCTATATTGCCTCATTTTTTCCACCCGTATTACCGAGATATTTTTATTATTATTGATTTGACATTGTTATTTTATTAATACATTACTGTAATATTAAATAGGAAATCGTCTTAAAGATGAGAAATTTCCCAGCTTTGGTAAAATTTAGGATCCTTCGAGAATTCATGTGAAGAATTCATACACAATTAAGATTCTACGAAGCAAAATTTGATCTTGCTTATACTGTAATAAATACTACTCAACTTTTGTGCAACAAGCGACTAGACTTCCCCTGTACATGCTAGTTGTGGGCGAAAAAAACTTTTCTACATTGAAATGGCTTTTTAAGTGATCTTAAAACTAGAATGAATATTACAATATCTGCAATGAAAATAAGAAGTGTAATCAATAATACAAATGATTATAGGAGATATATTAGAACAATAAATAATGATAGTAATTCTTTGAATTTTGAAAATAAAGGAGAAATGTAATAATAATGAAGTGAAAACTTTAGGTTATGACCCTGAAAATATAGCAAATAACTTTTTATTTAATAAACCAAATGAAACAAATGAAACAAATGAAAACGAAGAAAAAATATATTTTTTTTATTGACTAACGGGCCTCCTTTTTTATTTATAAATGATAATGAAAATTACATTGTAAATATAAAGTTATAAAAGAATAAAAATTGGCTAAGATAAAGCCTACCAACTCGCTGTTCAAGGACAGTGTGTCGTAACCCACTGCCGTCTAAAATTTGAAAAATAATTGTGTCACAGGGATACCTGAATTGAGATGTTTATATCTTTATTATTACTATTAATTTTTTTCCCTTACGTTTATTTGGTATAATTTTTTATTACATTTTATTTTTTTGTCAATACCATTTTCATTTTCCCATTTTAAAAAATCTAATTATTCTTTCTTTTCAGCATGTTCTCAATTGAATTCGAAATTTCTACATATTTGATAAAATAAACTTTTTTACAATAGAAGTATTATATATTAATATTTTTGTGGCCTTAATGAGTATAAGCCCCCTTATAATATCTTCAAATGAGAAATCTTTTTCTTTTCTCACCTTCAACCTCGATAGTATTAATTTTAATAGAGTCTACTTTATCAACAATTTCAAACATTTTGGACATAAGTTTACCTTCTGCCCTACGACTTATACAAATTTCTTCTTTATAGATGTCTGGACATCTTTTAAATAGATTTTCAAGAACTGGTAGTTCATTATTCATAACTTTAAAGTTAAAGAATCTATTTGAACTACTTTGATTACTTGTGTAATATCATCAGTAAATTTTTTAAACCGGAGGTTTTTGCAATAATCCATTAAAGGTTTTCAAAAACCCAGCAGTTAATTTTGGGGTTTTACATTTTGAAAATATTTCAAAAGCCTCTAACTTTCAACTTACGGAGGTTAACATTTTTGAAAATCCCGCAAGTTAATGGCCATAGTATTTTGAAATATTATCAAAAATGTCAACCTTTGTCAAGTTAATGGCCAGAGGTTTTCTAAAATGAGGTTAATGGCTAGAGGTTTTCTTCAAGTTCATCAAAAGTTTTTGAAAATGGAGTATTGCAAGTTTAAAAATTTACTGATGATGAGGATATCTTTCCATTATTCGGATTTTCTGTGGTCCAAATCCGATTTTTCTGGCAATGAAGAAGAAATAAATAATAAAACGAGTGATAAAATAAAATGGAATCAAATTAATTGTTTTATTATTTTTTTTTTTAATAATTTTATTAGAATTCTATAGTTAAGCCAAGTCAATTCTCAAATCTACACAATATATAACTCGTTTCAAAAGCACTTTATCGGTATGCCCCCAATAATCAAAAATCAGAAAGTATGTTTATTTTTATTATATTTTTTATAAAAAAATTATTTTATTGTAAAATCAAAATCTTATTCAAAGAAGTAAACAAATAGTAGTATCAGAGTAGTTACACACTGAATCATATAAATGTGATACAATTATTTCTTTTTTTTTTTTTTAAAAAAAAAAAAAAACTATTTTTTCTTTGATATAAAAAAAAAATGACAAATAAAATTTCCCACAGAAATATTAATTATAATTTTAAATAAAGTTCAACCATCTCATTCAACTCAAGATTTATGTTCATCATTATTAGTTAATCGGAAGTTACTATATCAATAATACTTTGGGATTAACTTTTGGTCAAGAATATTGTACGGATGATAAGTTGAAAGAGAAAGCATTATGTATTCGAACTTATATATAATGTTTGGATATTCAAGCTAGAACTTTACTTATTCAAAATGGATTTAATTTATCATCGTCACCATCTCAAGCCACTTTTGATTTTCCATGTAGTATTTTTGAATTGTAAAATATATCCTTTTATTAATATAATTTCTACAGTGAATATATTGTAAGCTTTTTTTTAGCGTATTGACGATTATATAATTATTTTATACATGATATATATTTCTAAGAGGAGATTATCATATCTTATATATTACAGACGTGTAGGCTAATTTCAAATTTTTAATCAAATCATCAAATATAAATTATTTTTTTGAAGAAGAATCTCTAATTTCAATATTATGTTTTTCACAATTTTCTTTTCAACAACAACTGCAACTGCATCACAACATAAACAAAAACACAACCAAAAGGAAAAGAAAAACAGTGAAATAACTTTACATTTATATTAATTTTATAAATAGTTATTCAAACATAAATTTAATGTGTAACAATTCTAATAAAGTCTTAAGAGAATTCGATGAATAATACAAATAATAATAAAATTGTGAATATTCATATATTCTAGATATTTAAAATACAAAGATGCAATAAATAATTGAGATAATTGAAATAATAATAATAATTGAGTTGTGCATTATTTTTAATTTAAGAATAGATCTTTTTATAATGTTTAAATAACTGAAAAAAAATATTTTGTTTAAAGTCTGGTGCTGATGAATTAAATACATTTGATATAAGTGAAGGAGCTGAATTTCAGAGTAAATTGTTGTTTCTTTAATTAATTTTACTTAATTTATATGTTTAATTAATTTATTTTGATAACATATTTCAAATTTTATATTCACATTTTTATAATAATACTGATTAAATCATTATTATTTAATTCCACTTTAATATTAAATTTTAATTATATACATACTTTATACTTCAATTTTATTTTAATATATACTTTGATTATTTTATATTGCAAATAAATTACTAACTTACTTTTTTTAATATACAGTAGTATGATGGATTCATCATGCTTGTGCGACATAAAATTTTTTAATTGTTAATTAATTTAGCACTATAAAATAACTCTTTCAAATTCGTATGATGCAGCTTGCTTTTATCTTTTACGTATTATTTTTTTAAACTGTGCCTTTTAGATTAGATCAGTATCCATTTTAAGCGAAAAAGTAGATATAAGAGGCAATTTGTGTTTTCACGAATTCATTTTATATTTATTATATCAAGAAATCAAAGCTCTTGTCGCACTGTGCCGTGCTGTACTCATGATCTTGATCCACTGCTTCGTTTGTATTTATAAAAAAAATGTTTGTCTAACGAGGCGCAGATGTGTTAGAAAAAAAGTGCATCATAAATTTTGAATATAACTACTTGATATCACCAAGGGCCGCTCTGAATGAATACAAAAGATTAAACACGCTACATGCTAGAGGGTGCCAAAATTTACAATAAATCTTTAAACTTGTAAATCTTGTAGTCAAATATAAATCCCAAACTCATTTAAAATTAAAACCTTTATTATTTTTGATCAATTCCTACTTCTCTCCCATACTTTGTACGATGCAAATCTTGTTAACTATTAATTAACTATACATAATTTATTGTTAAATAATTAAACAATAATATTTCACGATAAAAATAACATTTCAAAACATGATTTTACTCTTTTAACATTACAGGAAAATCAATTCATCACATATATAAACTTATCTTACCAGCACTTACAGAACATGTTGAATTATTTGATAAAACAAACATTTATACAAGAGTCATCCACCTGATTTCATCTAATTAAAATGTAAAAAATCATCCATAAAGTTTACCAAAGCTTTGTCCAATTTGATAAAATTCAACATGCATCAAGATCAATTTCTTCAAAATAATCTTATGCTTAAAACTTCAAGATTATCCAGGAGTAATTTAATTGAACCTATGACAAATTCTTCTAGCACAAGAAAAGTTTGTTAGATCACATTTACATTGAAGCTTTCAAGAAGGAAATCTTAAAGGTAACAATTAAACAGAGGATGATAATAAACTATCTGTTACAAAAAGCACTATTGCTTCATGTGGAAACCAAAGAAGTGCTGTATGGTTCATCACCATTAGGAAGTTTTGCTGATTTTGTAAAAGGCTCATATTCAAATGAAAAATGTAGATATTTCATAAAGCAATCACCAGGTTATAGTAGAACCTTCTGATCTAGACTTTTTTAATGCCACTTTCCATTGAGGATCTCTTTTCCATTGATTACCTTTTCTCTTGTTTATTTTCAATATCCCATTTTCCATTGATCCATCAATTCACCTAGTATAATGCAGTGTTCCAATTTCACCTCTACCCATTTGTTTAACATCTTTAAATCTATCATAAGATATCTATTCTATTACTTTCCAATATTCATTAATATTTAGTTAAGCATCTTGAATGAATTTATCTATTTTGTCATTTGTCCAATTATTAAAATCATTTTGAAAACATTTTGAGTTACACAGTTTGCACCATTTATATCCACTATTATATTGAACATATTTTAGAAAATGACTTTTTTTTGTTTGCTTATAAAATGAAAAGTGAAATTTATTTTTTTTGAAAAAAAAAGAAATTTAAATTATATTTAAAATTGCAGATATGTTTTTAATATACAAAAAATCACATTATTAATGACATTTTTTTAATATATTTATTACACAAAATACATAAAATGTTATTTCTAGAAAAAAATTTATATTTGAAGAGCCAGAATTATACATGTTCCCAAAATTGATTTTGGATTTTTGAGATATTTCAACTTTTTGAGATTTATGCAAAATCTATTCCATATATGGAAGCAAAAAAAGTACCCAGTTATATGTATATTTAATCAAAAAATTTTGAATTTTAAGTAAAATAATTATACCTGCCACCTAAATTCAAAATCCAAATGCCGAAATCCCAAATGCCGAAATCCCAAATCCCAAATCCCAAATTATAATTAGTATTTTTTGCCGAAATCCCAAATCCCAAATCCCAAATACTAGTAATTTGGGATTTTGGCGTCCCAAATCCCAAATGATTTGGGATTTGGGCAACACGTATAAAAATAATTTCATCTTCTATAAAAAACTATTTCAATTTTTTTTTTCCGAAATTGTAATTTTGGAACTTCAAAATAATTTTACATACAAGTATAGTCAAAATAGTAAATTACAATAAGGTTATATATACAATATACATGTTTTCAAAATTAATTTTAGATTTTTGAAGTATTTTGACTTTTTAAATTTATGCAGAATCTATTTTATATATGGAAGTAAAAAAAGTATCCAGTTATGTGTATATTCAATCAAAGAATAAATCTGGGTAGTTAAAAAATTTTGGATTTTAAATAAAATAATTTTGTCTTCTATAAAAAACTATTTTGATTTTTTTTTTTTTGAAATTGCAATTTTGAGGCTTCAAAATAATATTGTGTGCAAGTACAGTACAAATCACTATTTGTACAGTACAAAATAGCATTTTGTACTGTACAGTTTATCTGTATACCTAGGTTAACATGATACTAGTTAATTGTACATGAACTAAGAATAAACTTTATTTCAGAAGAATATTGTTTGGTTTAATTAATTATAAATACATGATGGTATCAGATTCACACTATAAATAAAGTTATAATTAACAGAGTGACGAATATTTCAATTAACTATATTTTATGCACACTCTTCATTATTATAATCGGAATATACCAAAAAGTTTATACACTTTTTTTTTTGTATAGATATCTTTACAATGTAATTCATGTATTCTAACAAATTCTAGTGTTGACCATGGTCCAACTTTCAAGGGATGTGATTAATTATTAGCTAAAGGTATGGTAGCTAAACTAAAATATATTACTACTAACTAATTTATACTAAAAAGTATAATGTTTGAAGGATTTAGATATTACGAATTTGTTTAAAAGAGGCAAGGCTATGAGATTTTTATAAGGGTTTAACTAAGCTATTCACAAAGAACAAAGTATAACTAAACTAAACTGATAATTCCTAACATTAAGTAGAGGATTATAACACAAAAACTGTATACTATACCTGCCACCCAAATTCAAAATCCAAATGCCGAAATCCCAAATGCTGAAATCCCAAATCCCAAATCCCAAATT